AAAACAGCCGAACTTCGGTCACGCTACTGAGAATGCAGTTTAGTTATTGAGTTATTAGAGTGTTGCTACTTACTTACGAAACACTGACCAGAAGCTAGCCATGCGCTTGCCACTCATTTCCATCTCTAATCTCTGTCATGCTTTTTTCCCTAATCTTTCTCATGCTCTCTAGTATTTTTCACTCAGTCCTGCTTTTCTCCTGATCAATTCGGGTGTATTATTAAGAAGAGTGTGTTTAGTGTGTGACTGTGTGTGTTGTGCAGTATGTTTAGTCTCTAAGGTTTAATTAAAGAGCAGCCAGAGAATCTTGTCAATGGTCCCAAGACTCTCCTTAGAACCCCAGAGTCATCCTCTTCTACTTTACACTTCACAGAACACACATAGAGAGAGAGACGGACGATGAAGAATTATTGGAGGAATAATATAGAGAAAGAGGGTTTTCAGTTTTATTGGCAGGGACATTCCTGTTATAGGCTACCATTGAACTCTGCAACTTGAAAAATAAATATGCTTATGTTGTAAATTGAAGATGTATAAGGTGCAACAGACAATAATTTTATTTTATATATTATAAAAAATATTGTATGAAATTGCAATATTAATAAATATAAGTAAATTGTTTTTAAAATATTTACAATCAATCCATTTAGTATAAAGGCGTGTGTATATTATATTTTAAATAGATTTAATTGCATAATTATTTTATTGAAGGTAATTTAGTCAACATTTAATGCATACAAAAGCTATATGCATACGCATGGTATATTGTACATTGAAATGTTGATTAATAAACATAAGTAAATGACGGTTTTAAAAGATATAATTGTATCAGATAATCATACAATTTTTGTATAATATTTTGTAGGGATGCACCGATACCACTTTTTCCAGTACTCGCCCGATACCAATACTTTTATTTTTGGTACTTGCCGATACCGAGTACCGATATCAATATTTTTATTGCATTTGAAAAAATTTTAATATTGGGTACAGAAACCAAAATATTATGTATAATGTTAGTTGGTTAACTTAATTTATCAAATAGATACAATCAAACCAAAATGTATTCAGACACCTTCAACATTTCTCACATTATCACAGTTTATTCGCTATAGTTTAGAAAATGGTAATACAATATAACAAGAACTCAGAGTTAAACTGTGTCAGAAAAAATTCAGCTTGATAATGTTAGTTAACTTTGATAGAAAGGTATGTTATGGATTACAATCAACCAAAAATTAGACGGCTGTTAGTATGACAGTATTTACACAACTATCAATACTTAGTCGGTCATCCCTTAGCCTTAATGACAGCCTGTAGTCTCCTGGGCATGCTGTCATTCAGCTTCATGCAAACCTGAACTTCAATTTTTATTTCCCAGACTCGGTCTTAATAATTTTTGGTCCCAAATTTGTATCAGTTTTACTGGTAGTCCACTGTATTATAATTATTTATTATTTTCAGAAATAGAAGTCGTGTTTTTTTTTCATCTGAAATGTGCTGCGATTTATATTCCAAAGCCACTCATATAATGCAGAAACACTCAAGCAAGCAAAACATGCTGAACGTGTGCACATATTTGTACTGGTGCAGAATAGTACAGCCTAGCGCATTTCACACAGGCTGCTAGATTCACTTTCACCAGAAAGTCGTGTATGCCTAAGGTTTAAAATAAATGATGTTTATAGTGAATGCATCTATAAATGGTCTTATTTTTACGATTTAGTTTTAATCCAAATGTTGCGTGTGCTAAGTGAGTGAACATCAAAGATCACACAACAGAATTGCGCACGCACGCACTCTCTCTCCCTACCTACCATTAAGTAATTTGTGCATTGTTTTACTTACTTGTTTTTAACGTATCCGACCGAACTACAAACTTTCCAGTGATGTCTGTGAGAAAGGTATATTCACTCGACAAGCTCGCGCATCTGCGCCGCAGCGTGCTCAATCCACTCAGCGTGCTTTGCTTATCAGCTCACGCACGTCAGCTATACAGTCAATACTGAATGTTTAACATTATATTCATTGCATACATATACTTCGTAGACATCCTTAATCTCTAATAACTCCATTCTGCTGTCTTTTGTTCTGTTGTCGGTGTTTCATTGTCTGAATATGGCACTTAACACATGCTGAGTGGTATCGGCATTTGGTATCGGGGCATTTTAACGAGTACGAGTACAGGAGCTCAGTATCAGGCCCTATACCGATACCAGTATCGTATCGGTGCATCCCTAATATTTTGTGTAGGTGTATGTATACTATATATACAAAGTATAGGGGAATGAACATTTGTATGCAATAAAGAGTGGCTCACTCATGTTATGCCGTTGACATAAGGGAGCCACTCTTTATTGCATGCAAAGGCTAAATGTATATACATATCTTTTATGCAACATTTTTACTTTATTTGGATGGATATTTAAATGGATGCAAACTAAGCACAACATTGAGTCTTAAATTATTATGAACGAAAGTAGAAAGAATTATAGTGCAGGAATAAGAGGAATAGGCAGCTCAACTGTTTTATTCCTTTCTCATTTCTGCATGACCTCCTTAAATACCACATTACCTATAGACTACTGGGGGAGTTATACCATAGTTCTCAAATTCAAATAGCTTTATTGGCATAACAAAAAGACAGACACACACTCAGTGACAGTGCTGCACTGGAAACGCTAATGGCCACATTAAATGAGACTATTATGGGATGGTGATAAAGTAATATCACTGGAGGAGTCCATTCAGCATGATGATTGTTGCCACATTAACGATGATGGCGATGATGATGAGGAAGCATTGTTTTGCCTTTTAAATAGCTTGCCATCCACATTTACTGCACCAAGGAGGTCTATAATATTTGCAGACAGCTCTCTATTAGCATTCCCATTCCTCCCAATGGCATTTGCGTGGTTTGAAATCTACCATCGTTACCAATTTTTTTTGAGCCAATCACCTCAGCTCTGGATCCACAGGAAATGATGTCATGACAATGCTGAATCCATCTGTACAGCAGCCATTCAATTTTCTATCTGTTTCTCCTCCTACCTTTTATAATGTCCCTGGTCTGCACCTATTTGTGTCCTTCAGTGCTGTTATATATGACATTCCTGTCATCTCAGTAGTTGAGATTTAATGCCTCTTTCTCCATTAGTTTTAAAGTTCACTGCTTATGCTTGACCTTTTGCCCTCCATCTTGTCCGGACTTCAAATCTAAACCCAAGTTAAATCCATTCACTTCACATAAATCTCTCTCTCCTCTGTTTTAGCTAACCATTAAAATACTTAAGCGTCTAAGCTAAGCGCTCTTGGCTAAATGCTAACACCATGTGAAACGAACATCAAAGTTTTAAAGCATCAATCAGCTCTTTCAGGCGATTAGAGGCTTTAAAATACAAAAGATGCATTCACGACCAAATGTGTCGGTTCTTAATTAGACTTCATATCCGCACAGATGATTTCATTCAGGATGTGAGAGCTAAAACATCTATTTTTAGCTTGTTAGTCACAACTGACTGATAGAGGCTCTTTGTGTGGGTGTTTTGAGATGTTTTCCTTTGCATCGCTGCCTCCCTGTCTCAATCTTATTGTGTTTATGATCCTCATAATGCCCTGAACGAGTCGTCTGAGCTGTCATTTGCCCGCAGTATTGCTTTTTTCCAAGGTTTAGACGTAGAACACTACAGGAAGCACTATAACTGCTGAGTCATTGAATTTTTAATAGGGATGCACGATATATCGGCCACCATATCGGTATCGGGCGATAAATGCTCATTTTTTCTGTTATCGGTATCGGCCCAATAAGAAAATTTGGCCGATATCTTAAAGCCGATAAATAATGCATTATTTCCTTCAGAGACACTTCAGATGCGCGCTGTTCGTTTGCAGCCTTTTGTGCAATTGTACGTTGTAATATTGTGTTTATTTGATGTATATCTGATTTATCTCATATAGAATGCGTTTGGTTAAGTTAAAAGAGCGCTTCAGTTTACCAGTGATAAACTCAAACAGCAGTGCACAACATTAATAACTATGATTGGGAATGTCGTGTATATAAAATTCTAATGAGAACATTATTATAATAAAACGTTGTGAATTATTTGGGTTTAGTTGCTGTGTTTCAGCGCGTTGATACTACATATAAACATCGAAAGCCATTCATGTTTGATGGGAAATGTTATAGAATTTTTCACTTCTATCTGTCTCAAATGCAGTCTAGCCTTGTCATTAAAGATCTGGGCTAGAAACTAAAAGGTTGTAAGTTCAAACCTCCTGGAAATCCTTCAGTTATTATCACCAGTGTGAGCACGATGCTTAGGATAGGATAGTTTGCCTAAAAACGAGTAGATGCAAACCTGTATGACTGCGGAACACAAAAGGAGATCTTTTGAAGAAAGTTGCAGCTGTTTTTGGACTTCATGTGTGGTCACGTTAGCAAACTTCACAGGCAAATAAAGCTTAATTGTCTATTGTTAATAGTGTAGTGATGTATGAATCATTGCTTACATAGCAGTCACTTTCAAACCAAGCAGTTTTCTGTTGGTCAACATGGCAAATTTACATTACCAACTTGAACACAAGCTAAATCTGCTTGGAGAACTTTTTCGCTCTCACACAAAGCTCCTGATCACACAAATTCATGTTGAAATGACTTGATTTCATGAAATGTTGTTGAGCAATGGTAAATATGACCACACCTTTACAATGTAAAATAGTGGGGTCCAAAATAACCATTGACTTTCATTGTATAGACACAAAAACACTGAGACAATCTTAAAAATATCTTCTATTGTGTTCTGCGGAGGAAAATAGATTTGGAATGACATCAGGGTTCGTAAATGATGACAGAATTTTCATCTTCATGTGAACTATCCCTTTAATCTAGGTTGCAGCATTTAACATGGTACAAATCCATGTGGTTGATATGTGCATGCAAAGGGTAGCAACTCGTAAATTAACCTTTAGTCACTAACCCTTACCCTTTTTGTTGTTGACAGGATCTGCAATCATCTGCGTAACCTCTTTAACTGACCCCATGAGGACGGCTGAGGGAGATGGAACGTAACAGATTTTTCTTCTTTACTTACTGCGGCATTACCACGATAACCCACCAGGGCTGAGCACAACCTCTGCCCTTCTTCCACCCCAACCCTTCCACAGTCCCCCCATTCCTGTCCTCCCTCTTACTCCCTGAAAGGACCAAACAAACCAGCAAGATCACTTTTTCTTATTTTATTATAATAGTTTTACTTTCCTTTGTCCTTCACCCATGAAAAAGCAAAGCATAGGTCAATAAACCAGCGTAGTGAAGAAGGAGAAAACAAGACAGTCATGTATCTGTCCAATGCCTGTAAACGTGATTTGGGCCATGCCCGCAATTCGGAGGCCACCCACGCAAGTACTCTCCTCTGGTTGGCACTGTGGATTACCTTGGCATCATGTCAACGCATTGATCCCGGCACCAAATATCCCACTGTCACCACAAACTACGGCAAATTGCGCGGGATTAAAAAAGATCTTAACAATGAGATTTTGGGTCCCGTGGAACAGTACCTTGGTGTCCCCTATGCCACGGCGCCGATCGGAGACCGTCGTTTTCAGCCACCAGAAGCTCCTGGGTCCTGGCAGGAAGTGCGGAACGCTACACAGTTCGCCTCTGTTTGCCCGCAGAATGTGCATGGTGTTTTGCCCGAGATCATGCTGCCTGTGTGGTTTACCGACAACTTAGATGTGGCCGCCACCTACATTCAGAATCAGAGTGAAGACTGTCTCTACCTCAACATCTATGTGCCCACAGAGGATGGTGAGTGTCTGACACACCACAGCAAAGCATTATGGTTATATCTAATAGGGGAGTAGAGTGCAACAGTGGCCATCCACTTTTCCAGCAGCCTTGGTTCAGGAAGTATTTTCTGATAGGGATTTTGAAGAAGTTTAAGAGTTATAAGCCATGAACCAAAACAACCACCTACGAGGTAAATCACAACATTACAAACTTTGATGTAAAGCAAAAAGTGTTTGAAAATCAGACAAAAAGACAAATCTTTAATAAGGGAAGAAACTATAGTCCCAATAGGCATTGTGAAAGAAATTATCAAACGAATAAAAAATGATTAATAAGTCTAAAACTATTGATGTTGATTATTGATATAGAAACAATATATTTTATGTTTGTTGCAAAATATGCACTACATACAAATATTACGAATATATACAAATAGGGAGACTCACCCTACAACATTCGCAGTGCCTCATGGGAGTGGGCAGGTGCTAATGAGTTCTTTTGGCGAAATCTGCTTGTTTAGATTCTCTGATTGGTGGGGATTGTTTTGCAGAATCAGGTAATTAATTCAGTTAGCAACCTCATAGATCACAGTAGGTCTGTCTTTAAAGGTTTATAAGTTATCGTTAAAAATCAAATCCCCTATTGAGAAAATGAATGGTGATTTTACTTCTGAAACTCAACTGCTGCACTCTATAGAGCAGGGGTCTCCAACCTTTTTTACACCACGGACTGGTTACGTTTGGAAAACATTCTCGCAGAAGGAGGGTAGGGGTTGGGGGATGGGGGGGTATATAGCCTAATATATATATATATATATATTACGCTTTTACATAGTATCATAATTGCATTATATAATGGTTCAAGGCATTATATTGTGCTTTTTTTTTAGTCACAGATCGGACTATTTTTTCGGATTAGCAAGAAACAAATTTTAAGGCACAGAGAATGACAATGCCGTGAAGGGCTTTTGACATAGGCACATTTTATGTGTGTAGGCCTATGTATATGCAACTCGGTATTTCCGCGCTGTCTGAAACACGTCTCTATGCTTGGGTATATATATATATATATATTAGGCTATTATATATTATAATAACATTATATAGTGGTTCAACGCATTATATTGTGGTTTTTTTTAGTCACAGATCGGACAATTTCTTCGGATAAGCAAGAAAAAAAATATTTAAAGCATAGAGAATGACAATGCCATGAAGGGTTTTTGACACAGGCTAATTTTATGTGTATGTATACGCAACTCTGTATTTCCGCGCTGTCTGAAACACGTCTCTATGCTTGTGCGCGCTTTGATTGTGTGCGAGAACAGTGTGTGAGTAACGAATTGAGCTCTCTTTCGGTTCTTCTTCTTGTGGTTTAAAATTGCTTGTACTTGTAAATTGCCAAATTAATCTGCGAATCACGTGCGTGCCGAACGGTAGGGTCTCATCCGTATGTATTACGGATCAACTGCGATCTGTTTAACTCCTAATATGTGACAGATCAGAGCAATCTTTCATGTACTTATTTAACATGAAATTGTCAAATTTCTACTCCGTATCAATTGCATACAATGAAAATACAGAATAATTAGAACAACCATTAACATAAATAAATAAGAGAGTGTCATATCAATTTTTCCCAGAACGTTCTTGTGACCCGGTAGCAATTCTTCCAAGGCCCGGTAGTGGGTCGCGACCCGGTGGTTGGGGACCTCTGCTATAGAGTAATGGAAGCTATAGGCATGCGTTTTTACACGCCTACAGTGCTACATAGTAGATACTACAATACTTACGGACAGTTCTCCCAAAAATGGAAATTGTTGTCATTTACTCATTATTTTACTGTTGTTCCAAACCTGTATAACTTACTTTCTTCTGTGGAACACAAAATATATTTTAAACACTGTCTTGTTTTGTGAATATAATGAAAGTCAGTGGGGTCAAGTGTTGTTCTGGACCCCACTGACTTTCACTGTATGGACAGAAACAGTTTAAATATTCTTCAGAGTATCTTTTTTGTGTGTGTTCTGCAGAAGAAAGGAAGCCAGATAAGTTTGAAATTACATGAAGGTGAGTAAATCATGATAGAATTTTCATTTTTGACTGGACTACCTCTTTAACACTACAAAGTACCATACAGTGAAAATGAGATGTATTTTCTGCCTTTGAACTTCAGTGCAGCTTTACCAGACCTTGACTAAGGACATGTCCTTGCCTTCTCCTAGTTATGATCAGTCCACTGCACTCTGGATCAGGACTTGTCAGGAATAGTTTACCCTATGATTCACTTAAAGAGTGAGGCCAGCTGGAAAGACTAAAGTGTTCTGGGAAATTACTTGTGCTCCAGCATAAGACGTACATTTACAACAAATTGCAGTAAATTGATGGAGAGTTAACAAACCAAATAAGTGACTGACTTTTTAGACTGAGGTAAAACCCCTCAACATTTGTCTTTTTTCTTTCCTCGTCTAGTTCTTTTTTGTCTTTTTTTTTTCTTTTGAGAGAGAGCAAAGTGGACAGATACTCTCAGAGGATGGAAAGAACTGATTTGCGAGGAGGTGTTTTTCTCTCGCAATTAAGGTTCCAGCCGCCAAGTTGCCCAGAGAAACAAATTATTGACATCAACAGTAATTTGCAATCTCAGAGCCCTTTTTGCTCCTTTCCTCTCAGTTTTTACCACTTTTTGGCAGCCAATGTAGGTGTTTTGTGTTTACAATGGTAATTGTCTTGTTTAAGCAATTCTTTCTATAATGAAAGAATGCTTTGAAATTTGCAACCCGTGTTAATGAGAAAAAAGTCATCAAACTTATTACCTCAGTATTTGCACTATACATACCAATGCGTAGTGTATAATGCCTCATAGCACATCAGCATACTCCAGCACATTGCAGTCAGACTGAACATCTGCATAGTCGTGTGAGTGTTTGTTCACAGCAAAGATGCCAGTGTTGTTTTCTTGTTTTTGACACCATCAGCAATGTGTCTCTTTTCCTTCCTTCCCTTTCTACTTCTCTCTCTCGTTCTGTCTTCAAACACTCATTTTCATCCCACATTATCTCTTTCTCTTCGCCATGTGTCTTTCACAAAGCCCTCTGCAAATCTGCTGATTCCTAGATTCCCAAATGCACCAGTTCCCATTTTCCCAAATCCCCAAATTCCCTTTAATCCACTCAGTCTCTCCCAAGCCAGCTTGCAATCCTGCGCATTAGAGTTGCTATTTAGAACAAAATATATTATCCAATGCATCCATGTGTATCTGCACCAAATGGTGGAGTCATTCATGAATTTAGAGTATGATTAAGCATTACATGAATACTGTATATAATTTCAGATCAAATAAAGGAGCTTTTTGTTTAGTTTTACATATGTAGAGAAAGTCTATGCCTTAGAACTGCTGTAAAGATATACAGATTAATTATTTTACAGAAGTGTATGCATGCTGTGCTGCAGTTGATCCATGTGAGAGTTAGAAGAGGGGGTGGACAGGAGATCAAAGCTACTATATCAGTTACTATATGTGGGGACCATCTTGGCCCCAAACTGCCCCAAGCAACTTATACAGCAGTATGTAGTCTCATTATTTGTCTCCCTTTGTTCTTGTTCCTCTGACTATATATAGTGACATCTGTTATAGCCTCTTTTATGCTCGCAGAGCATTTATTTTGATTAGAAATACAGCAAAAATATTATTAATTATTAGGCCTATAACAATTTAAAATAACGATTTTAAAATGTTAGTTATTCCTGTTATGGCAAAGTTGAATTTTCAGCAGTCATTAGTCCAGTCTTCAGTGTCGAATGATCCTTCAGAAATTTTTATAGGCTGATTTGCTGCTCAAGAAATTAAACATTTGTGATGCTTACTATTTCTGTGGAAACAGTGATGTATTTTCAAGGATTCTTTGATTGATAAAATGTTTAAAAGAACAGCATTTATTTGAAACAAATGCTTTGAAGCAGTATAAAAGTATCTACGGTCTCTTTTGATCAATTTAATGTGTCCTTGCTGAATAAAAGTATTCATTTGATTTAAAAAATAATAATAATAACCCCAAACTTTTAAATATGCCATTTCCTGCAGTAGTCATTTACCTTCTGCAACAAGAGATCAAATATGGACATTTTCCCTTTTTTTTCTTCTTTTTTTTTTTTGGAGCCTATTATTATTATTATTATTATTATTATTATTATTAAAAGCCTATTTCTTGTTTTTTTATGCCTAAATTACTTTTGTCTTTTTCTTGTTCGGTGGTCTGGGAGAAAGTAGCAGGACCCTGTGGGAGTTGATTGAAGGCTGGAGGCAGATGGTCAAGCAGAGGCATGTGTGAGCAGGACTGATGGGTTGGTTTTAGCATGACTGTGCACTCTGCAGCCCACCTGATACTGCCACAGGCATGTCTACTCACTCTTCTCTGTCAGATCGATTTGACCAAGAGGGAGCACAAAGCCTACAGAATTTTCTCATTGTTTTAAGTAAAAATATATAAATTGATCAGTAAATCAACAAGCAAGTAAAATCTGAATAGATTGGCTTTACACAAAGCAAAGCAGTGAAGACATAATATGATTCTGACTTAAGGAGCTACAATAACATACCATATATTGAAGTATCCCAAAGGCCAAGGAGGTAGAAATGAGAAATGGAAGAAAGAAATGAGGGAACACTTGAACAAAAGATGAAATTTGAACAGCACTATTGTTTTCTATGGGAGGGAAATCAAAACTGCTTCGGAGTGCACCTGAGTGTTGGTGTAGAGGGCGTTTTTTAATTAGCTCCTGGAAGCTCCAAGGTATTCTGAATATAGATGGACCATTGCGGGGCCCTTTCAAGTATTAGAAGCCGAGATGCACGCAAACAATTCTGCGATGTACGACAACAAAACAAGTATTCCAACAGAAGTTTACAGGCTACAGCTTGAGTGTTTGAGATTTTGAATTTAAACAGGATTGGTAGAATCAGTGGGCTGCTTTTAGCAAAAGGCATCATTAGCCGCGTTTCCACTGTCGGGCCAAAAGCGGGCA